TCATAATATCATTAAAACCATAGACTATACATAGAATATAGTATATACAGTCTTTGATTAAAACACTCAGAATGTAATTTTCAGGCCTTCAAGTACAAAACAGACAAGACTCTGTCGTGGGAGTCACCACATCCCCTCTAAAAACCACAGTCAGTGAAAACGGTATGTCTTTATTAAGTCAAATACAAGATTCAAAGAGATTCTGCCCTTATCAACATTTTACACAGCCTTCAAACTCCTCACGACAGATCTTTGTGCTACAAAGTTTGGAAAATCCTTTATTTTACCGAATCTCTGTTAAACTGATTTTCCTGGTTCACGTTTTAAAACTGTGTTTTTATCATCTTTTGTTTCTCTTACATCTTAGTGTTTATATTGCTCATAATTTCTTTTAAGGAGACTTTTAAAATGTCCTGTTTGAGCAGCGTCATAAAAATCTGCACACACAGTTAAGCTTTGGATGATAAACAAAGCAGATGTATAAATTAGAGTTTCTTTTATCAGTAACATGGTTTATCCTCATCTGGTTTTAAATATATAGTTTGTGTCACTTTTTTTATATGTATCAGGGTATAGTTTGAATTTATTAGATCAAAAGTTTGAGTCAAAAGAAGCAGACATTTTTGAGGTAAATAAAACACTGTGTCTGTGCTTTATTGGAAGTTTTTAAGTCAAGTGTTTTCATTTATTATTTAAACTGTCACACCTAGATTATTGAAGATTAAGTGGTTGTCCTGTCATAACATTTTAAATCAAACTTTTACTGAACTAGATCCACTTATGTACCTATTTTTCCTCTATAGTTAAACATGATTCAATCATGATTTGGCTTTAAAATCTAAACTATGAATAGATTTAAATCATCAGACCTCACGCTGTGGTTTACTGTAGTCTCATTCCTCTGCGCCGCTGGATTTAAAGAGCATTTAAATTCACAACTTCAGGTCAATGCTGCCACCTATTGGTCAGCCACAACACTGAGTGCAACATGCCTGGATAAACAGCAGTGCAGGGGTTCAATGGCTGAGAGTGTACTGTTGCTAAGTATTTCTGAATCTTTAGATTTCGTTCATTGACCGAGCCCCTTCCCTCCCCTGCTGCTGAAGTCACAGCATCGTTCTTGGGTGACATACACTACCGTTCAAAAGTTTGGGGTCACCCAAACAATTTTGTGTTTTCCATGAAAAGTCACACTTATTCACCACCATATGTTGTGAAATGAATAGAAAATAGAGTCAAGACATTGACAAGGTTAGAAATAATGATTTGGATTTGAAATAAGATTTTTTTTTACATCAAACTTTGCTTTCGTCAAAGAATCCTCCATTTGCAGCAATTACAGCATTGCAGACCTTTGGCATTCTAGCTGTTAATTTGTTGAGGCAATCTGGAGAAATTGCACCCCACGCTTCCAGAAGCAGCTCCCACAAGTTGGATTGGTTGGATGGGCACTTCTTGTGTACCATACGGTCAAGCTGCTCCCACAACAGCTCAATGGGGTTCAGATCTGGTGACTGCGCTGGCCACTCCATTACCGATAGAATACCAGCTGCCTGCTTCTGCTCTAAATAGCTCTTGCACAATTTGGAGGTGTGTTTAGGGTCATTGTCCTGTTGTAGGATGAAATTGGCTCCAATCGAGCGCTGTCCACTGGGTATGGCATGGCGTTGCAAAATGGAGTGATAGCCTTCCTTATTCAGAATCCCTTTTACCCTGTACAAATCTCCCACCTTACCAGCACCAAAGCAACCCCAGACCATCACATTACCTCCACCATGCTTAACAGATGGCGTCAGGAATTCTTCCAGCATCTTTTCATTTGTTCTGCGTCTCACAAACGTTCTTGTTTGTGATCCAAACACCTCAAACTTGGATTCATGCGTCCACAACACTTTTTTCCAGTCTTCATCTGTCCAATGTCTGTGTTCTTTTGCCCATCTTAATCTTTTTCTTTTATTGGCCAGTCTCAGATATGGCTTTTTCTTTGCCACTCTGCCCTGAAGCCCAGAATCCCGCAGCCGCCTCTTCACTGTAGATGTTGACACTGGTGTTTTGCGGGTACTATTTAATGAAGATGCCAGTTGGGGACCTGTGAGGCGTCTGTTTCTCAAACTAGAGACTCTAATGTACTTATCTTCTTGCTCAGTTGTGCAACGTGGCCTCCCACTTCTTTTTCTACTCTGGTTAGAGCCTGTTTGTGCTGTCCTCTGAAGGGAGTAGTACACACCGTTGTAGGAAATCTTCAATTTCTTAGCAATTTCTCGCATGGAATAGCCTTCATTTCTAAGAAAAAGAATAGACTGTCGAGTTTCAGATGAAAGTTCTCTTTTTCTGGCCGTTTTGAGCGTTTAATTGACCCCACAAATGTGATGCTCCAGAAACTCAATCTGCTCAAAGGAAGGTCAGTTTAGTAGCTTCTGTAACAAGCTAAACTGTTTTCAGATGTGTGAATATGATTGCACAAGGGTTTTCTAATCATCAATTAGCCTTCTGAGCCAATGAGCAAACACATTGTACCATTAGAACACTGGAGTGATAGTTGCTTGAAATGGGCCTCTATACACCTATGTAGATATTGCACCAAAAACCAGACATTTGCAGCCAGAATAGTCATTTACCACATTAGCAATGTATAGAGTGTATTTCTTTAAAGTTAAGACTAGTTTAAAGTTATCTTCATTGAAAAGTACAGTGCTTTTCCTTCAAAAATAAGGACATTTCAATGTGACCCCAAACTTTTGAACGGTAGTGTATGTCATTCATTTGCCAAGTCCTGAAGGAAGAATCACTCCCCCTGCCCTGAAAAACTCACCTCTCTGTGTATCGCTGTCGGCGAAAACAACACAGCAGCACGCCCACTAAACAAGTGCGAGTTGTCGTTCTTTTATATCGCGGAAAAATAGAGAGATTCAAAATAAATAAACATCACAGCTGTAGAAGGGATTCTGCTACGTTTAAAGATATCAAATAGAGTATTTCTTAAAATCGACTGAAATTAAATCCTTCTTGCAGGAAAGTTTTTACACGTGTAAAACGCCATTACAAACGCCGAATGTAATGGCGTTTAAAACGCCATTACATTCGGGTACACTCATGTGGTTAACACCAGAGCTAATGCACTGCTCTGCGTTGATGTTGACTAAAACCACAGGCAATTACACAATTTTAACCCGCAAACGCCATAAAATCTCAACTTTTTACCTGATTAATGCAGTCAAAGTTATTTTTAACATGTTTTTTTTTTATCCTACCTTGAGGTATATTTGAGATAAATGTTTGACAGAAATGTAGAGTTCTTCAACACAAAGGCATACTGCATTTATTTGAGGATAAAACTGATCTTGTTTCCTAAATAAAGAATTATATCTCAGAATTAACCAAAAAATTTTCAGGGGGAAAAAAGTTATAAAAAAAATATATAAATAGCATATTATGAAAAAGTTTGTATAGTTAACATAAAAAGGTAATGTCTCAGGTTATAACCAGGTTATTACCAGGTATTGTCTCAGGTTGTAACCAGGTTATAACAGGGTAATGTCTCAGGTTATAACCAGGAAATGTCTCAGGTTATAACCAGGTTATAACCAGGTAATGTCTCAGGTTATAACCAGGTTATGACCTGGCTATAACCAGGTAATGTCTCAGGTTATAACCAGGTTATAACCGGGTAATGTCTCAGGATATAAACAGGTTATAACCAGGTTATAACCAGGTAATGTCTCAGGATATAACTACGTTATAACCAGGTAATGTCTCAGGATATAACCAGGTTATAACCAGGTAATGTCTCAGGTTATAACCTCGTTATAATCAGGTAATGTCTCAGTTTATAACCAAGTTATTACCAGGTAATGTCTCAGGTTATAACAAGGTTATAACCGGGTAATGTCTCAGGATATAACTAGATCATAACCAGGTAATGTCTCAGGATATAACCAGGTTATAACCAGATAATGCCTCAGGTTATAACCAGGTTATAACCAGGTAATGCCACAGGATATAACCAGGTTATAACCAGGTAATGTCTCAGGTTATAACCAAGTAATAACCAGGTTATAACCAGGTTATTAGCAGGTAATGTCTCAGGATATAACCAGGTTATAACCACGCTATAACCAGGTAATGTCTCAGGTTACAACCAAGTTATTACCAGGTAATGTCTCAGGTTATAACCAGGTTATAACCAGGTAATGTCTCAGGATATAACTAGATCAAAACCAGGTAATGTCTCAGGATATAACCAGGTTATAAACAGGTAATGTCTCAGGTTATAACCACGTAATAACCACATTATAATCAGGTAATGTCTCAGGTTATAACCTGGTTATATCCTTGTTATAACCAGGTAATGCCACAGGTTATAACCAGGTTATAACCAGGTAATGTCTCAGGTTATAACCAAGTAATAACCAGGTTATAACCAGGTTATTAGCAGGTAATGTCTCAGGATATAACCAGGTTATAACCACATTATAACCAGGTAATGTCTCAGGTCATAACCAAGTTATAACCAGGTAATGTCTCAGGATATAACCAGGTTAAAACCAGGTAATAACCACGTTATAAGCTGGTTACTACCGGGAAATGTCTAAGGTTATAACCAGGTTATAATCAGGTAATGTCTCAGGTTATAACCAGGTTAAAAACAGGTAATGTCTCAGGATATAACTAGGTTATAACCAGATAATGTCTCAGGATATAACCAGGTTATAACCAGGTTATGTCTCAGGATCTAACCAGGTTATAACCAGGTAATGGCTCTTGATATAACAAGGTTATAACCAAGTAATGTCTCAGGATATAACCAGGTTATAACCAGCAATTGTCTCAGGATATAACTAGGTTATAACCACGTAATGTCTCAGGTTATAACCACGTTATAACCATGTTATAACCAGGTAACGTCTCAGGATATAACCAGGTTATTACCAGGTAAAGTCTCAGATTATAACCACGTTATAACCAGGTAATGTCTCAGGTTATAACCAGGTTATAACCAGGTGATGTCTCAGGATATAACCAGGTTATAACCTGGTTATAACCGGGTAATGTCTCAGGATATAACTAGGTTATAACCAGGTAATGTCTCAGGTTATAACCAGGTAGTAAGCAGGTTATAACTAGGTTATTACCAGGTAATGTTTCAGGTTCTAACAAGGTTCTAACCAGGTTATGTCTCAGGTTATAACCAGGTTATAACCAGGTAATGTCTCAGGTTATAACCAGGTTATAACTAGGTTATATCCAGGTAATGTCTCAGGTTATAACCAGGTTATAACCAGGTAATGTCTCAGGCTATAACCAGGTTATAACTAAGTTATAACCAGGTAATGTCTCAGGTTATAACCAGGTTATAACAAGGTAATGTCTCAGGTTATAACCAGGTTATAACCAGGTAATGTCTCAGGTTATTACCAGGTTTAAACCAAGTAATGTCTCAGGTTATAACCAGGTTATAACCAGGTAATGTCTCAGGTTATTACCAGGTCATAACAGGGTAATGTCTCAGGTTTTAACCAGGTAATAACCAGGTTGTAACCAGGTTACTACCAGGTAATGTCTCAGGTTATAACCAGGTTATTACCAGGTTGTTACCAGGTAATTACCAGGTTATTACCAGTTTATTACCAAGTAATGTCTGAGGTTATAAACAGGTTATTACCAGGTATTGTCTCAGGTTATAACCAGGTTATTACCAGTTAATCTCACAGGTTATAACCAGGTTATTACAAAAGCAGCAAGTACAAGAAGGTGTGTGTGCGTGTGTGTGTTTTAATTAATGCATTTTAACAGGTGTCAGACATCAAAGGCATTAACTGACGTACTGTTTGAATGAGAAGCTGCCTAACTTTATCGAATTTGGGGCCTCTGAACTTCTTCCCATAGCGTGATTTCCTTAAATCCCAAATGAAAATAAGAACATTGTACGAATCCTCCGCCCCTCTTGAACACAATGATGTGTTTTTCATGTCTGTACTCTGAAAAATGTGGCCACAACAGCAAGTTAAATAGGTCTGAGCCTGAGCGATTTTCAGGATTTTCTTGGAGAAAAATCACATTAGGGCCAATGGGAGAGATCTTCGGCTATTTGGACAGTTGGTCACCTGCTGGCCGAGGGGTACGATTTAATAATTTGAAACCTCTTTTGTGAGAGGCAGGACACATGTACCTCCATTTTGATTATTTTTTTATGGCTGTGGAGTGAAATTTGTGGGCGCAGGAGCGATATATTCAAGCGAGGTTTTGTCGATCAGAGAGGGGGTCTCCACTCTAGCGATGACATCATCACTCTAGCTCTTCCATTATGAAGCCTGAAATTTGCTGAAAACCCTGAGTGCTAAATTGTGGAAAAACTGTAAAAGATCAAAAAATGGAACACATGTTTAATAGTCGACAAGTGAATGAACATTTTAAAGCAAAAATTAGGTCTCTAGGTGAAAGTATACTGAAGTTGTAAGGTTTAGAAGGTGGAAGAAGAAAAGGAAGAATTGGAAGATTTCCCCATTGACTTCAAGTTAAAATTTTGGCACAAAAAGTTAAAAAAAAAAAAAAAAATAGTATAAAAGGTAGAAAGGTAAAAAGTACGAGCCCTCATGTCCTGAAGGAGTGGAACAGTTTAAAGTTTGAATGGTTTAAATAGCACAAAGTAGGAAGGAGTTAGAAGCGGACGAAAATTGGCGGAATAATAATAATAATAATAATAATAATAATAATAATAATAATAATAATAGTAATAATAAACAAAATGGCCGACGGGAAGAACAATAAGTGGAAATGCTTAATCAGCATTTACACTTAATAACAATGAACAGCAAAGAGCTACAAGTGTGTGGGGCTAGTAATCTACTTGTACTGAATCCTATTTTACAGTTGACCTCAAACGTGGAAAAGAAGGTTATTTTAGCAAAAATCAGTATTGAGATTGAAGTGGGATTGAATTTAAGGAGACGAGATTTGACCAACACAACACTCAGAGTTTTTAATTCACATTACCAGCACTGCCAATAATCCTTATTGACTTTCAATGCCAATCAAAACATGTCCCAGGTAAGAACATAAAGTTAAAAAGGGGATGAAAGCGATAACCTCAAGCTAACTCAAACCATAACTTTCTTTATTGAGATATCAACCTCCACATTAAATCTGGTACAGAAAGTGTGTATTAAACTGCTCTCTTCATTTAAATTTAAAGTCAAAATATCAAGTTGGCTATTCTACAGCATTACAGCGCTTCTTAATATATAAATAAATGATTCAAAGACTGAGGAACAGACTGTGAGTGTGTTTCAAGGGGGGAAAAAAAAAGGGGCCAGGCCTTTTTAGCAGATATACTGATTTTCATGTACAAGTGACTTCATGTTAAAGCTACTGTGGGGAATTTTCAGCCGATTATAACTGACTGATATTGATGGGGATTCCTCTGTGTGGCCTTAAAAAGCAAATCAGACCACCTTTGAAGGGTTTGTTCATCTCTACAAAGTTATTTGTGAGGTTCGAAACTGTTGTCAGGGGTGTAGGTGTCAGATGATTTAGCTAAATTGAAGCTTTTTAAAAAGGCTTTTTCAAAAATATCTCAGGTGAAGATGACCAATGACTTTTAAAATTGAGCAGGGAGATTTTTTGTTTGAAAACAAGACTTAACAAAATTTGAAAGAGAGGTTATGAAAAGAAGCATAAGAAGCAACACAAACCAAAAATTACTCACGGGAGCTTTAAGAAAGAATTTGTGTCACGTGATGATTTAACTCATCAGGTGACACCAAAATTGATCCATCCTGTGAACAAAATGAGTTTGTTACCTTCTCTGGAGTTCCCGAGGAGGCTTTTGCTGATCTTTATGATCAGAGAGAGGAGACACACGCTTTTCTCTCTAATGGAGTAAAAATAATTTTGATTTGTCAGTAACAGAATCAACTGAAAGATAAACCAAAACTAATGCTTATAACAACACTGAAGTCCAGACTGGTATTCCTATGCTTTACTTACACTACAGCACTTAAAAAACCAAGAACAACTCCATTTCTTCTCCTTCGGTTTCTTGTTTTTCTCCCCAGGTGGGGGTGCTGTGGAGCCAGCCAGACCATTGGAGGTGACATCTCTGCAGACACAAGCACACACCATTACCGTGTGGTGACATTTGTTTTAACAACCTGTAGTGATGTTTTTAAGGAGTCTGCAGTGACTAGTCAACATTTATCAGAAGCTTTTGTGGCTGCACAAATAAACAGCTGATTGTTGGAGCAGTTTACTCACCTCCGCTGAAGGCTGATTAGACTTCTGACTTTTCTCTGTGGAGTAACAACAAATATAAAAATGAAAACCCACTGTGTCAAATATTTTTAGTGTCTGATTTTAAATGTCACACTTATAAAATGATCTTATTTTAACAGCTCTGAAACATACCAGAGGTTGACCAAACAGCCTGTGCAGCCAAAAGTTCGTTGGGCAGCAGTTTTCTGCGTTAGAAGCCTCTGACGCAGTGTCACTGATCAACACAGAAACACAGGTTGGTTATTTTAATGAACAAAATAAATCTATAAACAGAAATATCTGCAGAGACACATGACAGTCACACAGACTCAAACCATGGTGATATTCAGACGATAAAATACAATAAACACGCACTGGATGGTCTTTGAGGAAGTATCAGAGTCAAACTAAAAAAGTGTCTTTATGTATCAAAAATAATACAGCACACTCACAGTGGTTTAAAATACCTGAAGGTTATTCCCTGTTTTTGTGTTGTTGTTATTGATAAATGAACCCCCTCTTTGTTCACACTTATTCATTAAAAACCTAAGTGCTGAATCTCTTTAAGTTGACACAGCGTTTTTAAAACAAAGCTTTTTTAATGCATATTATCCAGGAAAGGCCTCATACAAAACATGTTTTTCCTTCAATTTCAAACACAGTAAATTAAAATGGTCATTGTTTCCCTTACTGGGAATTTCCCCTTGTGGGACTAATAAAGGAGTATCTTATCTATCATACCTGACTTTACTAGTTTTTGACTAGAGACTCCCAGTAAGAGCAAACGATGATAAAACTTCTTCATTTCATTTAGTGTTTTTACACATTTCCTTTGTCTGACTGAATTGTCTTATTCAGTTAAAATAACCACTGAAATGTATCACATAAATACATGTGTGTTGTGACAAAAAGAGTATGAAACACAACACAGTGTAAGTCCAAAATCAAATCCTAAATTTGCGAATCTTTAGATTTTTGCTGGCACTGTCACAGATTTAACTCTGAACTGTCTCAGATTATAATCTGCTGGGAGGTCTCTGTCATGTTTCAAATGTTACACTCTGCATATTAAATGCAAAAGAGGTAAAAGATTGTTTTAGAGACACATTGGTAAACTACTGTTTAATATTACACCATAAATTTGAGTTTGCATTTTACTGTCATCATAAGTTAAACGTGTTTCTTACCTCCTGTTGAAGCTCGAGCACGCAATTCTCTGAGCTTCTCCTTTTACAGGAATGGGTTGACTCTTCTGTGCAGATTTAAGGAGAAATAAGAAAGCATTGGTTAGTATAAAAGAAACTGTCAAATAAGTTTCAGACTGACGGCTTTAAATAGCCCAGAAGACATAAAAAAAAATCTCTTATAGAGATTTCTCACAATAACATGAGCTTTCCTGCTCTTAAGCACGTAGAGTCTTTGACATGGTGGGCAGGACTTTCATGTGATGTCAATGCATCACTTTTAAGATAACCATCCGAGCGTCTAGACTTTTAACTCGCTGTTGTGGCCACATTCATTGTGTTCATGAAGGGCGGAGGATTCGTACGATGTTCTTATTTTCATTCTGGGATATAAGGAAATCGTGCTATGTGAAGAAGTCCAGAGGCAGCTTCTCATTCAAATAGTAGGTCAGTTAATGCCTTTGATCTCACAGCTGTTTAGGATGCAATCATTAACGAGACACACACAGTCTGACAATGTGTGTGCGTGTGTGTCTGTGTCTAAAAGACCTGCATGTACACAAAATTAATGTGTCTGCATCACCACCTATCTCCACCCACAAACTTTGAGCTACAGAAACCATTCTGGGCTTCAAAAATTCAGCTCATTGAGGACATTATGGGGTGTACT